GCCAATATCCTTGAATATGTTTTGTTCCCTTAACCAGTTGCCTCATTCCCCACCCTAATCCAGTAATTTTGTTTATAGGACTATTTTGTTTAGCAGTCTCTTAATTCAGAAACAGTATAAAAATAAATATCAGTTTTGCACCAGCTGAATTATCTATCGTATACCTCAAATCACTGAAAATGCAGTTATTAATCGGCAGAATCATTTCTGAACATATGACAAGTATAGATTAGCCACAAGCCCAAATTGCACTAGCTTATTCTTGAAATCTCCAGCACCTTTTTCTGACATTGGTGGTATGGTTGAGAATGATTCTGTAAGCTAGAGTCACTAAAAGAGGCTATGTCCAAAGAGGAGGTGATCTGACACCATAGTTAAAGATCAGCTCTTACCAGCTGGAGTAAGTCTCTCCGTCTGGAGGGTCTAATATTAATTAAGATAATCCTTAAAGCTTGTAGATTTCTAAGCAGGGGAGTAAGCAAGGGGTAAATGGAGGAATCTGATTTCCAAAAGGGCATCTAAATCAAGGGCCATCAGAACATAAGCTACATCGAAAACATATTTGTACATCCCTGTTCAGAGTAGCACTAGTCACAATAGCCAATAGTTAGAAGTCACCCAAATGTCCTTCCACAGATGAATGGATAAACAAAATGTGGTATGTACATACTTTAATAAGGAAAGAAATTCTGAAACATTTTACATGGAGGAAACTGAATGATATTATATTAAACAAACAAGTCACTCAGACACATATTGTATGAGACCAATTATATGAGGTACCTTGTGTAGTCCAGTTCATAGAAACAGAGAATGGTGGGTGTTGGGGGTGGGGAAGGAGGAAATTGGGGAGTTGTTGTTTAGTGAGAGTTTCAGTTTGGCAAGATAAAAATATTCTGGAGATCTGCTGTTCAACAATGTGAATATACTAGGAACTACACACTTACAGTGGTAAAGATGGCTAATTTTATATTATCTGAGCTTTAAACCACAGTTGAAAACAAAAACACAGCACCCCAAGTAAATAAGTAAAAATAACTATATATGGAATAAATTTAAATAAAAGGAAAACCAATGGAACCAAAATTCACATGATTGGCACCACTGTGTACCATCATACACCAGTTCAGACTTTCCAACTCCTAGTTGGAAAGACCTTGATGCTTCATTGCAAACTTGATTTCTACCAGTATTCTAATTGTGGCAACTTTTCTTGACCTAACAGCCTGGTCATAAAATTGACAAGCACTTCCCTCTCGATGGTGCTCTGATCTGCACCAGTTACCATAGAGAAAGGGGTTTTAAAATCGAGGCTACTGAAGCAGTGACATCACTAGTCTAGCTTGCTTTGTCCTTGTATGACCAGCATCCCAAAGAACTTGGCATGCATGCAAGAAAGCAACTTTCTAAAGATGACACTAACTTGCCCTACTTCCCAGCATTACATGAGAGAACGCCAGTGTCCTTCAAGATACTATGTATCTGGACATTCTGACCCAAATTCACTCTCATTGTTCCCTTAACTTGGCTAGGTTTTTGGGGACTTGGAGGGACATTTCAGGGACATGGTTTTTGACTGTCTTCCTTTTCTCCAAGGAAGCAAGAGACAGGGTTGGCTATCTTAGTCCACTTCTCCACATTCAGGAAAAATAATTTGAATGATCACTATATCAAAGAACCCACCATAACTTTTCTTTTCAGGAAAGTTGTAATCCCAGCTACTCAGGAGGCTGAGGCAGGAGGAACACAAGTTCAAGGCCAGCCTGGACAACTTAGGAAGATCTGTCTCAAATAAAAAACAAAAGGGCTGGGGGTGTTGCTCAGTGGTAGAGTACTCCTGGGTTACATCCTAGTACGGCTGGGGTCGGGGACAAAATAGTGGGAGCAGCAGCCTGACTCTGTGCTCTTCAGTTTTGCTCCCTCTCCCGGCTCTTTCATCATGATTTAAGGCACATGTGTAGTTGACATTTATTTGTCACATCTTTTCTTACAAGACTGTATGTTCTCCCTTAGAAACTGAGGTTTACTTTGTCTCCTATTTGCATCACCAACGGCTCTTAGGAGATTTTATATAGAGGTACAGATATAAATATAGATAGAGACATACAGATATACAGACACATACCCACACATACAATAAATGTTACTTAATTTACCCTCAAATTTCAAAAGAAATTTCAAGGAACTCCAAATAAGCTAACAACCCTGAAAAAAAGAAGAACAAACTTGGAGGTCTCATAGTTCCTGACTTCAAAACTTGCAATAAAACGACAGTAAGGGAAACAGTGTGTCACTGGCATGAAGACAGGCATAGACCAGTGAGACAGAATAGACCACTCAGAAGCAAACCCTCACTTGTGTGGTTAAGTCAGTTCTAACAAGGCTGCCGAGACCACTCAACGGGCAAAGGGCAGTCTTTGCAACAAGCAGTGTTGGGTGGTGAGTGTTAGATATGCATATGTAAAGGAATTAATTGGGACTCTTGCCTTACACTATACATATATACATTTACCTTACACTACATACAAAAGTTAACTCAAAATGGATTAAAGACCTAAATGTAAGAGTTATAAAATTATAAAACTCTTAGAAGAAAACTTAGGCAATAATTTCTTGGATATGACCCCAAAAGCATAGACAGCAAAAGAAAAAATAAATAAATTGAACTTCATTGAAAAAAGCCAAAACTTCTGTGAAATTGAAAGATACAACTGAATAAAAAGACAACCTACAGAGTATGAAAAATATTTATAAGTTATATAGCCTATAAGAGGTTACCATTTAGAATATATAAAGAACTCCTCTAATTCAGCAGCAAAAATATAACTTGGTCAAAAAAACAAGCAGAGGGGGCTGGGGTTATAGCTTAGTGGTAGAGTGCTCATCTAGTATATGTGAGGCACTGGGTTCGATCCTCAGTTTATAAAAATAAACTAATAAAATAAAGATATATTAAAAAACAAGCAGAGGATTTGTTTAGACATTTTTCCAAAGAAGATATACAAATGGCTATTAAGGACATGAAAAAAATATTCAATGCTACTGATCATTAGGGGAATGCAAATCAATACCCACAATGAGCTCTACCTCACACCCGTGAGGAGGGCTATAAAAATGAACAGACGAACAAAAAAGGTGTTGGTGAGGATGTGAAGAAATCATACGCTACTAGTGGAAATGGAACAGGACACAGACACTGTGGAAAACCACCCAGTGGTTGCCCAAAGAATCTAAGTAGAGAAGTACCACGCTTGGTAACTGATGCAGCAATTCCACTTCTGGGCGTCCACCAAAGGAACCTAAAGCAGAGCCTCACACGGGTATTTGTGCACTCCTGTTCACAGTAGCACTATTGACTATAGCTGAAAAGCAGAAGCACCCCAAATGCCCATCCATGAATGAGTGGGAATCCAAATGTAGTATATACATCCAATGGAGCATTAATCTAGTCTTAGGATGGAAATTCTGACATATGCCATGACATGAATGAACCCTGGGGACATGCTAAGTGAAATAAGGCAGTCATAAAAGGACACATACCATATGATTCCACTTATATGAGGTGCCTAGAGGAGTCAACTTTATAGAAACAGAAAGTAGACTGGTTGCCTGAGGCTGATGTGAGGGGAAAATGGAGAGTCACTTAATGAAGGGACTTCTGTGGGTGGTGAATAGACAGATTCCTCTGAACTGTCTACCTAAGATGGTTAAGATCCTACATTTTACGTTCTGTGCACCCCATCCCTTTCCCCACTCTTCATATCAAGATCACTTCATATCATATCACTCTTCATATCCAAGCCTAGAACAGCATCTTGCATCTGGCCTGCATCAATAAATGTGTAAGTGAATGAATGGTCAGAATCCAGAGTTGGAAGTCACCTTAGGGCTCAATGGAAACTTCTACTCCACGGATGAGTGAGTACCTTCTACAATTCTCCACCTTTGCTGAGACACCTCCAGGCTATAGAACACTCACTGCCCCTCAAAGCATGTCACTCTGTGGTCATATACTTTGTCATTAAAGAATTCTTTATATCAAGCTGACATAACTTACCTGAAATATCTCTCCATCCCCAGTGACCCTAGCTCTGCCTTCTGGGTTCAGGTAGAACAGATAAAATTTCTAATGCACCTGCCCACCTTTTGCAATAAAAGATAACTCTGTGTACCAAGAAAGTGAACGTCCACTCCAGGTGCTTCTGTTCCTGAAGAGAGACTCCTTTTGGAGTTAAGATGCCTCAAAAGGAGTTTCTGATCCTGGTTCAGAGACACACCTGTGACAAAAATATGGAGATAATCAGTGGTGACTATGTGGGGAAGAGGATTCTGATAATTAAAGAATGGGAATATTTAGCCTGGAGTAGAGAGGTCACCAAGCAAGACATTACTTGTCTTCTATGAAAGGAGAATCCTTGTTCTGTGTGTAAGTACAGGAAGGCAGATTTTAGCTTAATTATAAGGAAGAACACTAGAACTGTTCAAGTACCTAATAACTCATAAGTAGTAACATATTATAGATATTTAGTAATTGCCGTGGTCATTATTATCAGAGCCTGGTTGAACTTCATCACCCCTTTGAATTCATAAAATAAACACACATACATGCCACATAAACACTGGGCTTTCTGGCACTTGGCCTTGCATGGAACATTCTAGAAGTATTTCTGTTAAAACAGCTTGTTATTGGTTTGTTTGTTTGTTTCTTAAAAAAAAAAAAAAGGCCAACCAAAGGAAAACTCACTGTTGGCAAGGAACTATGCAGAGACCTGTGGCTTAGGACCCCTACTCACTGAGGAGTACCTTGAGACTTGCTTCTCCCTGCTGGGCTGCCCATGGGTTCTAACCTGATTTTCCCCACGGCTGGTTTCCACTGACCTTTCATGTCTTGGCAATGACTTCTATGCATTTTGGCAGTGACTGTCTAAATTTCTGATTCAAACCTGATCTCAGCCTCCTGGGCTTTCTCTCTCTTTTAATTCCTTCAGAGGATGGTCAAGGCTTCTACCACCCTTACCCCTCCCATAGCAACCCTCACTATTGCAACGTGACCATGCCGAAGGGGAACTAGCACTCCCAGCCTGGAGTAGGTCTTGTCAATCTGATTTTTAAATGATGGAGGAGGTTTGAGGACAAAGCTCATGGAGGCATGAGGATGCAAAAGATCAAGTGAAAGGGAGGAAAGATCTTCCGACTGTGAGCACATTCTCAGACTTAGAGGACAGAGAGGTATTTAAAGTGAACTGGAACAAACCTGCAACATCAGGTGCAGTTCTGCCTTCAAAAATAGCTGCCAGTTAGAAAGGGTTATTTACATATTGATTTCATGCTAACTTTGTAATGGAATGTGCTGCCTGCCTGCCTGAGACCTAACAACTGTCATCATAATTTTTTCTAAAAATACAGGCAGAGAAAAACACTCGGTGAACCCTCCACTGGAAAGTGGCTACAAAAGACCCTCATCCCAAACCTACTCCACCGACCATGTCCTAGAGCAGGGATTCTCAACAATCACCACCGAGCAACACTTCCCAGCTGCAGTCAGCCCTTCCTTCCCTCTTCCAACCAGCTCGCACTTTTTTTTTCCCCCTTCTAGAAAAATCTGTCTTGTTCTCAGGTAAGGGGAGATGCCTCCTTTGCACAGAGCAGCCTTTGTGGGAAACTCCAGCTGGCCCCTTATCAGAAATAATGGACGAGAAAGGGGCCCCAGTGGCCCACCAGCTCCCAGGCACCCTCCTGGGTGCATTTCTGTCACTGTTTCTTGGGATGCTTCCTTACCTAGGATCCCAATTTCTGGGGCCTCCTGACAGCCAGCTTCCAGTGTTTCTCACTTGGGCGCTTTCTGAACCCAACCTATGCATCTCCAGGTTTGTCTCTGTGGATCCTGCAGAGCTGGTCCTTGGCAGCTCTCTGGCTGCTCTGCGGTACAATATTAGCAATTTAAATGCCTCTTTGCCAGGCCTGATGGAGCTGATTCGGTTGTGATCCTGGGCATATGGATGGCATATTTGCTGAGAGCTAGGTGAGACGAGTCCCAGAAGGACTGCCGCCAGCCCCGCAGCCGCCTTCCCCGCCCGCCCGCCCGCTCCCCTCCCCGGGCCGGCGGCTGTGTGAGCAGTTAAATCGGCTGGAGCCAGCGCTAACTGCTGCCCACTTCGCTTCCAGCCGGGCCCCCGCTGCTGGGGACAAATCTTTCATTCACGGACAGGAGCTTGTTAGGCCAACTCGGGACTCCAAAGCCACTTAATTAAATTGTGGAAAGTTGCTTGGCCCCGGTGGGAAATTTGCACACAAAGGCCCGGGGTCCGGGGGCTCCCTCCACCCGGGACCCCACAACAAAACCGCGTCCTCGCGCCTCCCCAGCCCCCAGCTCTGCCCTCGCCTCTCAGCGCCCCCCTCCACCACGGCTGCGGCAAAAGCGGCGCCCCCTCATTAGAGGGCGTTTGTTCGGGAATGTTTTCCCAGCGATTCACTGACGGGCCTTTCATTCCTCCTTCGGCAATCAAGGGCGGCAAGTGCAGGCTGAGAGCCCTCCACGGCCTGATTGCTGAAAGAATTTCCAAAAGGAAAGAGTGTAAACAGGTACATTGAAAAAGCCTCTTTTGAACAATTATGTAAACATTCCAAACACTATTTGAAAACTTTCACAGTGGAACTGTCACGTTGGAGCATTCTTGGTTAATTGCAAGGGCACAATGGTTGCTTTCCAGGTACCCTGGCTTCCTGCAGACCCAGCCCAGAGAGCCAGCGCTGAAGGCCATGGAGAGCCGCAGATAAAGAAGTCACAGGGGACATCTTTCTGTGTGTGTTCTTGCTCCCTCTGCTTCCAGAAGCATGCCCTGGGAGCAGGAGAGGTGTGCTCTTTCTTCTGGCTGGATTTCTCCAGGGTCTGGTCCATGGCTCTCTGCACACAGGGTGGGTTAAGAATTCTGGATGCAAGAGTCGACTAGAAACACAGGGGAAAGTTCTGTGTCATTGAAGGTTTCCTTCAAAGCATTAAATGATCGTTCTGAGACTAGTATGGCATTATGTAAAAATGTGAATGTGTAACCTATGTGATTCTGCAATCTGTATTTGGGGTAAAAATGGGAGTTCATAACTCACTTGAAACTATTGTTTGAAGTATGATATGTCAAGAGCTTTGTAATGTTGTGAACAACCAATAAAAAAAAAAAAAAAAATGGTGGGCAACCTCCCCTCCCCAGGGGAATGTGCCTGGCTTGCTTTGCACGACTCTGGTTCGCTATCTAGGCTTCTTCCTCTTTTCCATTCAGCCCAGACTCTCATGGTTCACTAACACAACCACCGGTGACTCTGATTATGTTACTGGGAGTTAGGAAAGTTTAGGCTGCACAGGCAAACTGCTTAATCTCATATTTCACGGAGAGACGAGACTCCAGGTGAGTTTCCATGCATATTGGTTGAATCAGGTTAGCCAGTCTCCAGATATTTAGGGTCCATTCAGCCTATAACCACCAAGTCTTGCAAGAGGTATCTAAATTGGAACTGTCATTTCTGGTGAGCGGGGCATGATTTGTTTTTATTTTTGTTCCCTAAAATCTATTTCTTAAATGCCTGGGAGGTTAGGGGTGGGGGATGGGAAGAAAGCCTAAATGTTTAACAAGAAGGGACTGGCATAGAAACACAATGAAATCTTACAAATGTGAAGGCCGTGTAGAGACATGGGAAATATTTAATGACAACAAAGTGGAAAAAATCAAGCCACAGAATCATGTTTGCACTGTGCTGGCAAATTCAAGAAAATGCTGCTGCATGCTACTGAGGAGTAGAAAGGACCAGAGCGGAATGAAAACACTCATTCTGGGGAATGGGAGTTCCAAGTCTAGCTTTAATGTCACTGCATTGCATCGTCAAGGTGAGGTCTGGGGGTGCTGGAAAACACCCATGTACATACAAGGTTGGACATAAAAGGCCACCTGACTAACCCAAAGAGAGATGCACACGCCAGCCGGCAGCACTGAGCATCCTTACCAAGAATGTGGATCAGAGCTTCAGCGTAAATTTCTCAGACCTAAAGAGGAGCTAAGGCTTGTCAGCTTGCTGAGTCCCCAGGAGGCAGATGCAGAATCACAAAATGCAAGATAAATCAGAAATGTGGTTGGTAGAAATGGTCATGTTCAACAGGGTCAGTTGCAGAGCAAGGGCTAGAAGGAAAAATCACTTCTCTCCATTTCAAAGGGCTCCCTGAACACAGGAGGGGCCAAATATGCCTGCTTCATAGGCTTACTCAGTTTGACTACAGTCAATGCTTATTATGTGTCTGTTCTGTATCAGGAACTGTGCTGTATATATGTTAGGCATGTGAAGCTGTGGAATATTTTGATCCTAACAAGTTAATTCACAATGTAGTGTGGAACCAACATCTTTAAAAATGCATGTGAACCAGCTAATTTTGACAAGGGGTTCAAGACACCTCAATGAGGGAAAGAAGAATCTTTTCAACAAATGATTCTGAGACAACCAGACGGATACATATAGGCAAAAAAAAAAAAAATGGATCCCTACCTCACACCATATACAAAAATTACCTCTAAATGAATCAGAGATGTAAATTGAAGAGCTAAAGCTACAAAACTCTTAGACTAAAACATAGGTGTAAATATATGTGACTTTGGATTAGATGATGATTTCTTAACTATGACATCAAAAATACAAACAAGAGGGAGCTGGGGTTGTGGCTCAGCAGTAGAGCATTCGCATGTGTGAGACCCTGGGTTCGATCTTCAGCACCACATAAAAATAAATAAGTGAAATAAAGGTATTCTGTCCAACTACAACTAAAAAATGTTTCTTAAAAATTACAAATGAGAAAAAAGAGAGAGATAAATTAGATTCTATCAAAATTTAAAACTTTGATGCTTTGAAAGACACTACCAAAATAAAAAATACAAGTTGCAAGATAGGCAAAAATATTTGCAAATTATATATCTGATAGGGATGCCCAGAATATATAAAGAATTCCTTCAGTGCAACAATAAAAAGGATAAACCAATTTCAAAATCATCAAAGAATCTGAGTAGATATTTATCCGAGGAAAGTATACAAATGGCCAAAAAGCAAACGAAAAGATGCTTGACATCATTAAGAAAATTAAAATCACAGTGAGATACCACTTCTCATCCACCAGATGGCTATAAAAAAAAAGAGAGAGAGAATAAAAATAAGTTGGTGAGGATGTGGAGAAATTGGGACCCTCATACACTGCTGATGGAAATGTCAAATGGTACAGCCATCGTGGGACAGAAGCTTGGCAGTTTCTCAAAAATTAAACACAGAATTAGCATATGAATTGAGAATTGAAAATATATGTCCACAAAATTTTGTCCATAAGTGTTCACAGCAGCCTTATCCCATTTTGAAGCCAAAAATGTAAACCTCAATGCCCATCAACTGCTGGATTGATAAATAGAATGTGGTATATCCATACAGTGGAACATTATTCAGCCATTAAAACTGGTACCATTTTGTGGCTGCACTAAAAACCACTGACTTGCACTCTTTTAAAGGATAAATTTTATGGTATAAGTACCTTGGAAATGTTGGTGGTGTTGTTGATTGGTTTGTTTGGATGTGTGTGTATGTGTGTGTGTGTGTGTGTGTGTGTGTGTGTGTATTAAATACATGTGGAAGGTTCTACACACTGTAAAGTATCACTCACAATTTCTACTGCTAGAATGGGGTGTCAGGTATTACATGAAAGTCCTAAATGCTTATCCACTTAATTTGTGAGACCTTTCAGGTTTCATGGCTGCAATCTGCTAGAATGAGCTGGCCATAGGGGTCAGTCCCAGCCTCCTGAAGGAGCTAGAGTACATGGGTTCTGCATCTGCTGAGCCCTCTAGGATGGAAGAATAGAGAAACGACAAATAAGCCTGTCTGGAAAGCCGGCACGACTGGGTGCCCACAGGGACCAGTCAGAGCACAGGACTTGCTCTAGAATTCCATGCTAGGTGATGGACATATCTGCGCTCCCCAATGCTTTCATCAAACTGGACCTGACTGTGCCTTGAGGTCTTGAGGAGCAGTTCCTTCTGTTCTGTGGCTCTGTTACAGCAACCAAGGTAGGCAGGGTTCCTGGACCCAAGCCCAGTCCTGCTGAGAAGAGATCCTTTGCTTCCCAGGACAGACCTGCTGTGGTGACTGGCTTGGTGCTGCAGGAGCCAGCCTGATTTCAGACTAGTCCAGGCTGCCTCTCTGGACTCCTGAGCCATGTCCCTAGATCCTATTTGTCTCTCAAACTGGACTTTGGACTCATTATTATGGCTGCATCCAGAACCCACCCTGCTCTTCAAAGGAGCCCCCAAGAATCCAGTCTTATCTTTGGCCATAGCCCTCTGAACTCCAGCCTGGGCTCCCCAGAATTCAGAAGGTGGCCTGGGTTTCAGATCATCTCCATGTTAAGACCATCTCGTGGGATGGGGATATAGCTCACTTGGTAGAGGGTTTGTCTCACATGCACAAGGAAGGCTCTGGGTTTAATCCCCAGCATCACTAAAAAAAAAAAAAAAAAAAAATCTCCTGACCTTGAAGGTCCATGTGACTAAGCCCTTGGCTGCCTCCATCCTTGTCTACCATCCCCACCTTCCTTCCTTCTGCTCTGGCCCGCCTAGGCATGGCTGACTCCTCATTCATTTTGTTCTTGGCTTAAATGTATCCTCCTTGCAGAAGTCTTCTCTGGCCACCCTTAAAAAACAGAATCCCAGTGACATCCTATCGCTGTGCCCTGTTTTACTTTTCCCTTCTTTATGTGGTTTTTGTCTGTAACTCTTTCCAAATGGAAGGTCCACAAGGGTGGGACTTTGCTTCATTCACTGTTATACCCTCAACTCCTAAGAATACTTGGAATTTGGCTCACCCTTGAATGAATGAATGAATGAATGAACAAATGAATATTTTATTCCACTCAAACATCTGCACCATGAGGAAGGCAGATAATAGGTTTCATTTTAACTCAGAAATTTAAAGCACAGGGCAATACATTGGTTATGCATGTTCATGATTAGGTGGGGTGAAAGAGGAACTTGGGGGATATCAGGGTCCTTTCCATGACCCCAAAGCCATCCCTTCTGTTCTGTGGAATCTCTTGTTTGGAAAAGTAGCAGAATTCAAGAGCCCAGCTGGGGGCCATGAGGCCTGAGGCAGAGCAGGAACTGAAGAATAGCTGGGAAGATGGGGCTCCAGCAGGGAGCTCAGGCATGGCTGGCACAGCACACCTCCCCAGCAGGCCCAGCACCAACTTCCA